ATGGGCATGGCTGTAAAGAAGGCCAAAACCAAAGATTTCAAAAGCTGGGAGGTCTTCTGTGACACTGGAGATGTCTCATACATCATTCTCCAAAATAGCCACCCTAGCACTCGGTTGCCTGACCTTTTCAGCTTAGTAACGTAAAGGAAAAACAGAAACAACTGGTTGTTAATTATAGAAGGGAGAATAAACAGAATTAATTTACATTCATGTGTAATACATGCATAAAACATTTGCTGCATCACATCAGAGAAGAAACTTGGCCCATTAGTCTCACTTCCACAAGTGACCAGTAGTAGACACCAGGGAAAGAATGCAAGAAGGAGACAGAAGTGGAGAGATGTTTCCCAAGTAACTCTCCCATACACCAGAAATCTGTACTTTAGGGGTCTGTGTGTGTGTGCATTCCCATGGAGGGAGATGGCTGATGAATATCCAGATATACTTGCATGTTCTCTCTTACTTTTTTCCATTTTAAGTAGTCTCTTGTGCCGACGAGTAAAAGCAGATTGATATATGTATATATTTGGCATGGGTACTCTGCAGCATTTTCCAGACTAAAGGCTGCTAGATGGGAGTTTGGGATTTACAGGGCCCTGACTGCATAAGCAGGTTGGTCTCTCAGCCTATTTACCTGCGAGGCTCCAAAGAGGATCAGCCCGTGGGATGGAAAGGCAAGGAGATAATTATTTTTGGAGGGCAACAGTAAGAACGAAAGAGAGGAGGTAGTTTTTTTTATCTTTTACCTCAAAAAATCCTGCCTTATAACACTGTTCTGTTAACCCTCCTTGTGTTTTGCATGACCCTGAACAACATACAGGGTTGGAGGGCTAGATACAGAAAGGGGAATCCAGTGAGGACAGAGCAAAAAGGAAACTTGAGAAGAACAAAGACTGAAAGAGCAGCCAGGAGTAACTCTGATGTACAAAAATACATTTATTTTCAACAATTTCAAAACCACTGCCTTTTTTACAGTAGAAATATTCAAATGGAACAATAAAACCAAGAACAGTATATATATATATATGTATATATATGACTCATGCATTTGTATTACTGTGTTTAATACAAGTATTGCAATTGTCTGCCTCATTTAATCCTTTAAAACCATGGTGGTGGTTTGGGTTTAATGCACTGTCCAACATCATCAGAAGGGATATGAGAATTCTGGTTTGCTTTTTCAGACCAGCACATGCTGGAATCTGTGTAGGAACTGACTGAAGGAAAAGGGAGGAGAACAGGACATCTTTGCACATCCCTTACACCAATGCTTAGTCCAGAAGAAAACGCATGTTCTCCTGTGCCTGCTCTCATCAATAGCAACTCTAACTGGAAAACTCTGCAGTCCCCAGTCTCTCTAGCCTCATTTCCAATCCTGCCAGGCTTAGTGTTGGGTTCTTAAGCACAGGTTAAACCAAGTAGAGGATCTGTTGGGTGTTCATAACAGATTTACAGACATACAATCATAAGCTGCAGCTAGTCTCCTGGTCTCATGCATTATTCCTATGTTACAGTCAATACACGGCAGAATCTATCATGGGGGAAAGGCTGGCAGTGATAGAGGCCACTGACCCAGTCTCTTGCTCTCCCTTTCTTTTCGTTTTTATACACAACTTGATTGTGGGAGCTATTTATGTTCTACTTATCATACTGCCTCTTTCCTTCCTCCCTAAGGTAAATAATCATCTACAGCTTCAAGGACTTCCATTACATTTCCTCAGGGGTAAAACTTGCAGGGAGGAAAAAAATGGGAAAAAAAAAATGACATCCCCAGGTTGCTGTTCCCCATCATGTAGTATACAAATAAAAATGTACAATTTTCCAGCCTGTGCCAATGCCCCAGGTCACTACCTTCCAAATAAAATGTGGCTAGCACTGGCTGCCTAACCCAAACCTTACAGAAGTCCCCTGGATAGCTGCAGACTCAGCTACCCTTCTAGCATCCTAAAGGAGCAGCTTTCAATCACTAACACAAGGTTTTCCCAGCTGCCATCAGTCATGCTTTGCCCTAATTCAGGGGGTATGATCTGGCAAACATGGTCCCATGCTCTTTCCAGACATGCATGGAGCACACTCACGTTCAAGCAGTAGTGCAAGAAACTCCCCTGACAGGTGCTGATACCGAGAAAGTGTAAAAGGTAAAGGTAAAATTTGAGTCAACTCAAGAACCAGGCAAGGTTTTTGACATCTAATTTTGGGTCCACGGTTTTTGTTTACTTTTGAGTACCTTAGGGTAATCTTAGATTGAAAATGTCTTTCTGGACTGATGTTTCTCCAAACTTCTCAGCCATCACAGAGATAAAATTTGGGGAGGAGGGATGAAAATGTTTCCATTTTTAATTTTTTCAGTAGCTTACTCCCAATTTTTTCCTCCTTGCTTCCTCCCATCCATTATGAGTTACTTTAGCATATTTAAGAGTATAAAGGGAGAAACTGTTAAATTGTAAAAACTGTAATCCCATTTCTTTCTTTTTAAAATCAACATAAGATCATTTCTGTGAGAAAAAAAAAAAAAAAAAAGAACATTTGAAACAGTGAACATTTTCACTTTGTTTCCTGGTTTAGAAAATAAAAATATGGAAAATAATGAATATTTCTCATCCAGCCCTCTGCAGCAGCTCACAAAAGCAGTCCCTCAAATTCTAACGATCAGCAAAGACTGAGATCAGCCCACAATTTAGCTCAAGGCCCACAGGACCATTGCTTATGTACATCCCTCCCATCTATGCCTAAATGGGAAGCTATGGCCTTGCACTAACAGTGTTATCACCAGAGTGGGCCATTACTGTAAACTACTTTGGTGTTTCAGAAGAACAGTGACAGTAACACAACAGTTTATGTACATGTGATGGATGGAAACTCAAGTTTAAAGAGAAAAACACAGCCATCACTCTTCAGCTTGTATTAGAAACTAGAGCAGAAAAGTGAGGGAGGAAACAGAAAATAATTTTCTCTAAACCAAGAAAAAAGGCTCACAAGCCTTACTGAAATGGAGGAGCAGAACAACTGAGAATATTTAGTTTTAATTCTTTCCACAAAACAGTGTTTCCCTACGTTTTGCTTTTTACTATTTTAGCACTGAAATACCTTCTGTGTTTTTCCACAAAACAATGCTTAACCACTGTTTTTCTCCCCTTTCAGGCCACATCAGGATTCTAACCTTTGAAAGATCTTCCAGCCTATTCAGAGTGAACACACGTAGCTGAGGCTGGTTTGCAGCCAGCATGTTGTGATACAGAGAGGTAGCAAGTTAACACCTTAATCCTAGCCATCTTCTCATTTCAGTCCGGAGATATTAAAGGTAGAATTCTCTACCTAGATTGTCACCTGACTTAATTTCTGTCTACTGTCACCATGCAAGCACTAGAACATTTCCCAAACATGCCTCTAATCTTCCATCCACTCCCAGTAGGTCTTATAGCTCAACACCCTGCAGAATAAGGTCCGCTTTTAGCATCATCAATTCAGGACAAATAGATAAAAGCAACTCTCCACCAAGTCTACCTCCTGCCCACTCCTAGGGGCTATTCTCAACTTGGTGTGCTGGAAGATTCCTAAGGAGTTTTTCACTATTTTTTTTCCATTAACCTCCCTGTTCTGTATCAGAAATTACCAACCCATATTCAAAAATTACTCCACTAGCATTTCCGTCCAGAACTGGAAACACCCATTCTAAAGCACACACAAGACCTTTCCTAGATCAGTTATTTAGGTCTGACTAAGCATCCCCTTCTCCAAAGAGCAGTCCTTAATCACATGCATCATGTTCAACCGAAATCTAATACTCTTATGCATCCCGAACAGCACTTTGCTTCACCAGCTTAACTGGTAAATGCATGATGTATCACTGGGAAAGGAGCTAATGCAGTCTGGCGCACTGCTGAGTTGAGGCTCTACTGGGTACTGCAAGCACACTGGTATTTGTGCACATTGAGATTGTGATAATTTTGTTTTCCTTATTTTCCCGATATCACCAAGATCCTTCTCAGAAGTGAACAACAGCAATGGAGGTGAATAGATGATGAACATCACTAAAATATTCGTGAAAGACTCACAGTCCATCCAGATAAAATCTTTTTCTGCTCCTTCATAGGAAATTATAATACACATTAATAAAAATAAAAAAAGGCTTGCAGTTATACACAGAGAAATAAACTGTGCTGTTTACACACAGCAGTGTAAGATTGAAATAGGACAGACAACTGGAACACACTTGGAACCAAAGTGTGATTCAAGTGCTCACCACGGTCCCTGTTTGGCTGGCGTGTGTGTGTGTGCGTGCATGTGTGTGTGTGGTTCAGGTTTTGTTTTAAACATATCTTCTTTTACTAAACATTAAATTATTTCCCAAGAAATAAAAAGCTATGTACATTGTAATTATCTACAGTAGGCCTTCGGCATCCTCGCTATTCACATGCACGGGGTTCGGGCTGCATTCATAAACTCAAGCATGCCTCTTCATTGCTTGCGGTGCTGTCCCTTCCAGCCAATCCACAATCCAAGGAACACCGATGGGTATGTTTGCTCTGTTTTTTTCCCCCTTTCTCAGCAGTCAACAATGCCAGAGGGTGACTGAAATTAAAAGCAATTAAAAAAGGAGATCTTGCAAAAAGCTGTGACATGTGTATCAATGGAATGTGAGGGTTGTTGGCAGGCTGCAGAGCTTGGTCCCACAGCTTAGCCTGGGCCTTCTGGCAGATGAAATAGCTGATTCATGATTCACAAAAGGGGCTGAAAAGGGACCATTTACTTATATTTATCTTGCCTTCTGTATCATATCTGCCAATTGTACTTTAATACTTAATTCCCATTCTGTATTTAACAGGAGTCTGGTATTCAAATTCCAGCACACACTTCACTTATTCTTTGCTCTTTATTCCTAACCTGACAAGTATTTCCTAAATATGAAGAACCCTCGTTATTTATGAATGCAGCCCTGGTAAACAGAAAAAGCCCACCCCATCCCCTCCCAAATGATAATAATGACATATAACTCTCTCTTTTCATAATAATAATAATAATTATAACAATAATAATTACAAATAAAAATTCAGAAATGTTGTAGACCAAGAGGACTCTCAGTATTAAACACTAGTGCAGTTGGGGATTTCCTTTGTGCTTTCACTGTTGGCAATTGTTGAGATGCTTCCTGTGGAGGGGAAAATGGAGAAGAGTCAGTGCACTGCCTTCAACAGTTTGATCTATACTGCTTCTTACTCCTTCTTAGGATGTGTTTGTGTAAGTGTATAGACAGAAAAGGTGCTTAAAAGTAATACACCCTGTGTTGCATTTGCAATAAGCATAGAGCATGCAGAAAAGCTGTTATTACAGCTCTGTTGGCCACCAGTAAACTCATTGAGCCATTGGTGACATATCCCCTTGTAATGATAGCACACCAATGGTGTAAGTTTGGCTTAGTTGATTCTTCTGAGGGTTCAGGGAATTTGGGAGCCTTCCAAAGGAAAGACAGGGTCATGAATAGACCAAGGTGTGAGTCACAGCTTTTTCTAACTCACTCCTATATTCCTGTTATTGTTTCCAGTCTCCTACCCTGGTCATACAGCATTGGGATAAAGGCTGGAAAATCATAGGTAAAATTCCCTGTTGTTCTGTTGCAGGGAGACTTTGCCCCTATCTCAGTATCTGCCTGTACCTATGGTCACAGTCACTGCCTCACCTAACACCTCACTGACAAACATCCTCACCCATAACATGAAACAAGCCCAAGCCAAGGGCTGTGCCTCACCCATCACTCGCGTGTCCAGTTCTTTGTCCATCAGCTCCTCGGGGTCTGTGAACTCACTCAGAGTGATTTTGGGGGCATTTTCACTTTGGCTGACAGAGCCAATCATTTCTTGCTCCTTGTCATGCTGAACTTGGGCATAGATATTAATCCAAGGGATTTTCCTGCGCAGGAAAGAAAATATTTGAGGTTATATTTTGCCAAGGGATCCTTGGCATGTCACTGATTAATCAGACCGATTAAAATGAAACCAATCCCCGAAATGCAGCACTGGCAGTAATGTAGAGTAGCATCATCTCTCAGGCTGGTGAAAGCACCACAGGGACATTCAGCTCTGAGTGTGCCATTAGCATCCACTAATAACATCAGCCTAAAGCTACCCCAAAAGTTTTAGGCCACTACCTTCCTACCCTGTGCCTCCAGCAGTAAACCTAAATGCTCTGGCCCTTCCCTTTTAAATGAGAAGACGTGCACACAGTTTACACCATACCCCCAAGTCAGACAGCAACAATCAACTAAGTTCAATCAGTTGCAATTGCCAACTCTCTCAGTATTTATTATATGATCAGCGGTGCATTGGAAACCAAAAGTAAAAATCAATTTGAGCACTACTATTAACTGAGAAAAAATTGCTAGGTTTGTTTCTATTGACAGGCCCACACTGACACAGTAGAAACTGCCACATCAGAATGAGTTATAAAGAATTGGCCCTGCCTCAGAGGACAGAAAGGACTTGAACCTCATAAAAGCTATGAAAACTCTATTTGTTACCATTTCATTGCAAAACACAGTTCACCATGCTAAGGATCACGCAAGTTTGTAGGGACTTATTTTCCCTTGCTGTTCATGAAACCGAGAAAGTGGAAGCATTATTTCTTTTTTCCTTCTTCCTAAAGAAGTTAACTTGGACTGCTGGAATGATATCCTTGCAAGTCAGACAGTTAGACAGTTAGACAGATAGTTAGATAAGCCTCCAGGCATAATCCCTGAAGGAATGCAAGTTTAAAATAAGAGAACTGAAAAGTAATGTCTTAAGCATCTTGGGGGGTGCTACAGTTATCTGTGTTCAGTGGCCTGTTGGAAGGGGGCCAAATGTTTTTGTCTAATGTCCTTAGAAGGGCTCTGAGCCATGCATACCACAACACATAAATAAGGGAAATTCAAGGATTTTATCTGTTCATTAAACCACACAGGAGAGAGACACAAGATGTCTCGACTTCCATCAGTTTTATAGATCTATACTGATTTTACTCCAGTCAAGTTCTGGGCTTATGTAACTTGCACTATTGGCTTGATTTGGCATTCTGTTCTCAACCAGCAGCAAGTCAGGACATATTGGGGATGTTTAGTTAACAAATCTCATGTTCTTCTCCTTTTCTTCTACCCTCCATCTTTCTAACTTTCAGACATGCCTTACAGTTCACTAGAAGACATCATTACTACACAGGGAATTCACACATTGCATTTAATGGTTGTGAAACACGTGGTTTGGTCAGGAAAAGGACTAACTACAATTTTTTTGTGACTCACCAGTACCTCTCTACAAATAATGCAGCCATGGAGAGAGGAACTCTTCCACCCCTAAGTTCCCCCACCCAAAATGCTAAAGAAAACAGATGAAGAAAGTAACAAGATCCAGAAAGGGTTCAAGTGCCAAGAATACATCCAGAGGTGAGTGGAGACGTGGACATGAGAACATGCCTAGAGATGGTGGAAGACTCCATTTTGCTCCCAAACAATGCAATGGTAGAGTGACAGTCTTCTGAGATTTGAGAAGAAAGGTGAGGAAAGATCTTTGGAGTTATGAGGCAGAGAGCTTTCAGGTACTACAGAGACTTAGGGGAAAAGAGAAACTGAGCCAGGTGCACACACATGCATGCAGACACACACACTGAATCCTGTTGTGCCTCCCAGCAGACAGGTGCTCACAACTTTCCACCAATTACCACACTATTATCCCCCACGTATACACAAACAGCATTGACCTGCTATACACTCATCCTCCCAGGGAAGGAACAACCTATTTACAGCTGATTTCCTCAGCTTTCTCCCCCCTTCCTTTTCCACCCAGACCTCCTCAACAAGCATCTCTCTGGCAGCAGTGTTTAACATACCTGCTGAGTTTATAACTCGATGGGCTCATAATAAGGAGCTTGTGTGCAAACCAGCAAAGCATCAATTCTATAAATTTATTGAATTAAAAATTCATGTAGGCCTGCGCTCTCCCCACAACCTTTTCCTGTAAGCAGCAGTTCTGTATTCAGGCCAGGATAACCGTTCATCAGAAAAGTACATATTGCTAATGGACCTCTGCATCACTGAGAACAAGAGGGAAGCTTTTGTTTTCAACCCCTTTCAACCTTCCATTAAGAACTGTTGAATGCTCTCACTGAGCTGAAATAGTTGCTTTCTGTCCTGAAAAATCAACCTGAGGACAGACACTCCAGAGTGTCTGTCTTTCCTAAAGTATCTGACTTTCCTAAAAACTCGAGCTTTAACCATTTCTTCCCTCCCACCCCGCACTGCCTTGTTCCCCCCTCCAGTTTGTAATGCATTGCATTTTCAGACAGATCTTTAAAAGACATGTTCTTCCCTGCCATGGAGCACAGCATAAAGCTGATGGATGCTGTGCTCAAGGTTTCAATAAGTCTCGGGACACATAAGTGGTATGAGAGTTTGTTTCATGAGCTGCAGTAGCATAACAGGACCTGGAGCCTGCCAATGCAAAGTGGATTACCATGTTCCATACCACTCGACAGCAGTCAAAATATGCAGATCCTTCTTCTTGTTGACTGATCCCTGATCATAGATCCAAAGACATTAGCCCAAACCTGAGAAACTATCTCACTAAGACAAAAATGAAAACGCACCTTACAAATGGATGTACATAGATCTTGACACATCTCTCAGAGAGATTTCATTGCCTTCCTCATCCTATATCTAGGAGTCAGAGAAATCGTCAGCTGCCTCCTGCCACGTTATTGCATCAATGCCTTACACAAAATCCCCAGGGGAATGGGACACAGAAACTCTATTCCACCTCACAGAAACAGAGAGGGGATTGGTGATTACAACAAGCAGGACAGGCTGAAGACCTGGAAATCTGCACCTCAGCAGATTCTCATACATGGATTCTCGGGAAATCGTCCTGGTCCACTAAAGTCAGCAGGAGTTTGGTAACAGATCCTGATGTGCACAGACTTAGACAAGGGTTAATGTAAGAGCTCAGAAAACAGGGCAGCTTTAGACCTGGAGGGTAGGACACATGCCTGTCATTCCATGTTTAGTTTTTGCATCCTATTAACAGTATTACAGCACTAGCCTTACCTGGAACTGTAGAAAAGCTGGAGAGAGAAACATATTGTTGGAATTTAGACAGGAAAACTCTAGCTTCCCAGTTTGGGGGTTTACAAACTATTGATGTCCAGATTTTTATTTTTATGTTTCTAATACAATATTTTGTCACAAGGCAGGATCTGGGTACACAGACCATTTAACACAGTGAGTACTGTACTGAATACAAAGTTCCTGCTAAGAAGCTCCACCTGTCTAAAATATATTCTTATGAGGTAGCCCTTCAGCTAACAGGATATTCTTACCCCATATTGTGTTTGATAGCTTGCAGCAGCAAAGTGCCATGGGCGAGCACATATCCTGCTTACTGCCCAAAAGCAAAAGGTTTGTATTAACAACTAGCAAAGAAAATCTCAGCACAGATTCCCTCACAAAGCCATTTGATGCTTAACACAAACATTTCTGGCATCAAGTTTCCTTCTCTTAACATAATGACACCTATTCCCCTGCATGACTAAGCTATTCACTTTGCAAGATACAAATGAGATCCTACTACACTAAGGCAGTTGGCAAGATGGATATAGACTGTATGAAGATATTGATCTTTTTTATTTTTTTTTTTTTTTTACTAGGTTTGAATTGTGTTGCTCAGTACTCAGTGAGCACACATGGTTTGTTCCAAATTCTGGTCAGTGGTTCAAACAATCTGTTGAAGCAGGTCACAGCTTGATTTCTGAGCTCTTGGTGAACTTTCAGAGCAATGTGGTAGAAAGGCAGGAGTTAAACTCCTCTCCGAGAAATACAGAGCTATACTGGTCTAAGCCTTAGGCCAGTATACCTCACTCTACACCTGCAATCCAGGCACTATACTCTGCCTAAATTTCCTGTAAACCATCCACTCTCTCCTCCCTCATCCTCCACAGATTCTCAACTTACCTCTTGAATTTGTAGATTAAAAAAACAGCCAAGCCTACAAACACCACAGACAACAACATCAGCATCGCCGAACTGCTGTGACCCGTGCTGGAATCAACAAGGGGTGCTGCAGGAGGAAAGGCATAGAATTACATTTGCAAGATATTCTTAGGGAACACATGACTACCAGAGAATTGAGCTCAACCCTGTCTTTGCCACATCTGCTTTATTATCACCACTGCATGGTGCATGCTGTTTTCAGCAAGACCAATCAGTAGGAAATTAATTGACTCTTGTGTCCTTTGAAAGCCAGGCTCCTTTTTCAAGACAGTGCAGTAACATCTCCTAGTGAAAAGGCACAGCAAGCCGTGCTCATCTGAATGGCCAATCATTCCTGTATTAACATTCTGGCCTTTTCTTTTTAGGCTTTTCCAGGGACTGGAGTGGAAATTAAATTCATGAAGTGTGGCTTAATGCATATCTATTCTACTCTGGAGAAGAAATCTCATAGTGCCCATGAACAGTGTGACTCCCATCTTTCACAGACATGTCTCTCTCACGTGTGAAAGTGTCCTGGTCTTTTGAGAAGCCTCAAAGCTTGTCCTTCTTTTGGACTTTGCAGACCTGTCCATGACTTTCTAATCAAGTTGGTTTTCATAACGGAGAGGAGCCCAAAGCAATAATCCTGGACCCAAGCACATACTATGTTATAACATCTTGGAGTTTTGATCCATCCATCCTCGGCATTTTTGGTGGTGTAAATAAAGTGTATAATGATACCTTGTTTGTGCAGCTATTTTTACAGCTCTTTGGAGCAGACAATCTTAATGGACTGAGCACTGTGCTGAGAATCAAGTGTCTGATGAGAAGTCCCTAATGATGTTCAAATGTTTGTAAGTAGCATCTGAACACTTCTCATTTTGCATAAGTATCTGGTTCCTTTTTTTTCTTTTTTCTTTTTTCCTTGTAGCCATCACTGTCTCAGCAATAACTGAGAGTTTCACTCTAGGCTGGCCAAAATTCTCAGCTGCAGCTGAGAGCTTCACACTAGAGTGGTCTAAAGCACAGGGAGCGATGCAACTTGAAGTAATTATTCATTAGTATGTGAAAATTGAGATGTGTAACACTGAACTTTAAAGAAGCTCTAATTTGTAGAAGTCAATATTCAGGCCTAGATGTTTTTGTGAGTATGGTGCCCACATAAATCTTCTTGGCTCACCATAGCATTAACAATCCCTCTCTGCAATAAGGATTTGATCCAATATCCATGAAAGTTAGTAAGAATACTCCCAATTAATTCTACAGGTGCCCAGTAAGAGTTTAACAGAAGATCTTCCACCTAATGTTCTAAAACACCTGAAAAACATACTGTACTAGTTAATTAAAATCTACAGGAAACTCCTAAATGGAACTTTTAATACTTGCACAAACTGGTGCATGAAGATGTCACTGCTGAATTCTGTTTTCAACACTTCCTTCTTTTGCCACAGACATTGTCTTGAGATGACTAATCCTAAATATCCTACTAGCATATACCAAATTGTGTGTGCTCTGATGTAGACTCATCCTTCTGGAGCTGTATGAGTCCTCAAAAGATCCACAGCTACACCTTTTACTCCTCACTCACCTAATGTTAACTGAGTGACATACACAATGACTTCAACACCAGGCTTCAGTTCAAACTGGACCAGGTTTTGGTTGAGAGCATTAAAAAGGATTTCAACAACCTGTAGAAATAATAAGAGATACAAACAGTTACAATATGCAAAAGAGCAGGCTCTGGAGAATGTTCAGGAATTTATGTAGTCTATGAATGGTGACTAACATCTTATTAGCTTCAGGAAGAGGTGGAAGAAAGCAGGGAAGAGAAAGGAAGTGAGAAGACTGCAGAAGTGAAGAGAAACTTGTACATGTGCTTCAGACAGAACTGAATGTTACTGAATGCAAATCTCCCTACAGGACAGACATTTTTGAGACTTGTATATCCTTCTGGAAATACAGGGCAGGGGAGAGAACGGGTAGTGGAAGAGAAATAAGGATCTTTTCACCCAAATTCATGTGAATTTGAGCTAATGCACCTGGAAATCACTGAGACATAGGCTTTTCATTAGTGAATGATGGAACCGAGATGGGTGGTCCAGCCTAGTAACATCTCTTAACTCACCCACATTCAGGACAACCCCAGACTTGATCCTGTTTAAATAGATTGTTGGGGATGCTATAAATCCAGTTTTGAAGGTTAATGTCAAACTTTTCATATTTCTCCTTCATTTAGATGAGGGCCATTGCAGTGGAGGTTACTCATGGCTCAGCAACCTACCTATGATGTATTATTTTGTTGCCTTGCAGCATATACTTAACGTATACTGGAGCCTGAGCTTGTTAATGCATGGTCTCTACAGAATAGTTTTGATGGCCAGAGCAGAGCTCTTCAAGCAGGAGCTATCAATTGGTTCCAAAGTACGAGTGAGTAGGCTTTTAAATAAAGTTAGAGCACTAGAGCTTCAGTTCAGGGTCAACTAGGTCAGAAACCCAATCTGAGATATCTACATAATACTGATATATGAAACATTTTTACAACCTTGCATTCATGGAGAATTCTAATATGGGTAGGTCCTACTGAACAGGACATAAATGATTCCAAGAAAATCTCTCCAAATAGCCTTTTGAACTTTCCCTCTGCCATGCATCTCCTCTGCACACTTAACAACATGAATATAAGAGTGAAGCTTTGCTAGCTTTCTAAGACAAATGTACTGCTCTAAAGGGGCTGACTCTGCTCAGTGGGTGACAGCATCTTCCACAGAATTCATGAATCCTTTGAATTATTCAATGTTTGATCACAGAAGGTGCATTGAGATGGGCTCACACATAGCTTCCACAAAGTAGAAATGGTGCATATAAGACCATAAGCTATAGCCAAGCAACTTTTCCAGCAGTACTTCACTCCTTTGCCTTCATAGACCTGATTTAATCACTTGGTAATTCTAGCATAAAAAGCTCCAGCAGACTAGTGTTGTTGTTCCTAGCTCTTCCCTTGCCTGCATATCACTGTAGCTATTCATCACTGTAATTACCTATTTATCTAAATGGATGGATATTGTAACTTCCAAATATAGTTTGCACATGCCATTCGCTGCTGCAGAAAAAAAAGGGGTCTTGTTTCAGCAATATACAAACTGAAGAACTTGATTTATTTCAGTAAGCCTCAGTATATTATCTTGCTGCTTTGGCCTCTGTCTATTAGCATTCCTCCAGGGAGTGAAGGGAGTATGCATTTAAGGTTTCTTTGGCCATAGCTGCTGTAATGAGGACACACCACCGATCTAAGAAGAACCACTGCTGGTAGACTGTGATATATCTCAGTGAGGTGCTTGGAAAGCCAATTTTCCCTGTAAAAGTCATTCTCTTTAATGACATAAATATACTGCCACAGTCCCAGATGCACCCAGTTCCATCACAGTGACTGCAAGTCATTTCCAATGCTACAAAGGTTGAGGGATGCATCTGCAAATGGTATGATGGGAATGAATGGTCTGTGAATCCTTTCCTTACCTGCTCCAGATCAGCCTCACTGCTTTTCCTCATCTCTGTTGTATTTTTACGGGGCAGTATGAAGAGTTCAGCAGAAGTAGGCAGCCCAGGAAATACAGCTACCAAGATCTGTTCATCAGGGATACCAGTCACCTAAAAAAAAAACGTAAAAAGGAAGTCTCTAGCTGCTCTTATGTTACTGATGTTTCCATGCGCTATGGAAACTGCTCCTGCCAAATTATTTGGGAGTTCTTCCATAAATGTTGTGGCCCTGATGAACTGCTTTGCCCATTTAGTGTGTCTTGAAATAGAAGTTCTGCTAATGGTACACAATTTCATTTCTAGAAGTAAACGTAGGGTTGACAACATCCCTGGGCTCAAGGACCTCAACCCAGAGTTCAAAGTCCAAACTTAGGATGTCTCCAGGTCTGAATTTTCCATTAAGTCCTCACCACAAAGGAATGACCCAAAGTCAGATCCAGAGAGCCTAACTCAGAGCAACCACTAGTAAGTGTGCAACTAATGGCAACGTATGAAGAAAATTACCTACAAACACCTGCTAATACCAGGTTATGGAGATCCACACATTCCGTATGCAACGTATTTCTTCATGTCTCCATTGGGAAGCTTTTTTTTTCTTTTTTTTTAATGATAGAGCTGATCAGAAGGAAGCTGCTCAGCTTGCTGAACCAAGATTCACGCTCCATGCCTGACTCTCACTGCTGTCTTTATCATGACCTGCCTAATAAAGTTACTGCCCTCTGGTTTTACTTCCCAAAACCAAGCTGAGCATCCTCAGCACAGCAGGAAGCTTCTCCTCCCTCAGAAACTCTCTGCTATATGAGACTAACCCAATAAACCACCTGGTCCTAACTCCAACTCAAGCTCCTTGGGCTCGTTCCTGAACTGAAACATATTGATGGGGCAGCCCCTATTCCTGATGATCTGTCCTATAAGCATATACCACAGGCTGCAACCAGTCCCAAAAGGATATACAGACAAGCATTTCTATATGCTTTCTGATGTTGTCCATTCATTGATGTGACCATTCATTGTTACAACAAAATTTATTTTTTCTACACACTTGACTCTGAATACAATAAAAGGGAAGACCAGTTTAAACAGATGAACTAAGTGTTTTCTCAGGATGGAAAAACAATCAAGGAAACTCTCACAAACTGTGAATTTTGAGTGGGATGTGGATGAGAAAAGCTGAGCAGGAATGCGCTTTCCTCGTAAAAATAATCAGCCTCCATTTCTAAGAACAGCTGTAGCTGAAGAAAAAAAACACACAAGATATATTTTGGCAGAAAGTAAAAATCACAAAACCTCACTTAAATCCGTCTCTTGATTTCACACAAAACCAAAGTCCCTAGCTATTTAATATCATAGATTATTCTGTCCCCTTTCCTGCAAGAATCTGAGTGCTAATTTACATATTCTAATTAATCCCAAAGGAAGATTCAGTATCTTACACCCCAGAAGCTTCTCTTTGTCCTTTGTTTTAAAAGGTGAGTTTATTTTCCCCTCTGAATCTTCATTTTCTGCCCCAGTTGGAAAGGGAGTAGAGCTTTATAAGATTTTCAAGTTGCTACACTAAGAAGTAAGATTTAAATTTAAAAACAAAAAATTTAAGACAAAATTTAAGGCAATTTTTTTAAAGACAATAATTTAAGACAAAATTTAAGACCGAATATCCAGAATAAGTAAAAGTATCTCTCTCATGCATCTAACATTATTACAGTATCTGTCTTCTGGGACAGAGTGGAGCAGCTGTTGAACAGGACACAGGAACACTACCCAAATGCTTGGAACAGAAAACAACAGACCCTGTAATATCAATTTGGCAAATAAGAGTAATAGTGATGCTATTACAATCAGGAATTTGTAAAGTCCTCAGGGATATTAAAAGCTGAAAAATGCCACAGAAACATTAATAAAAGTAATTACAATATTTTCACAGAATTCCCAGAATAGTTTGCCTCTGTAAAAATACTCAGAATATTAAGCAGCAGTCAATTTAAAATGATAACTTCATTACTGCTCTTCTTCCCACTCTTCTAAGCTAGCACGTTGAAAAAGTCTGCATGCTTTAACAGCCTAGGCAATGTTTGAGCAGCAGAAGAGGAAGCTCACCTGTGCTAGAGCTCTTCTGATGACTTTGCCAATGTCTTGTCTCCATTCAGGGATGTCAGGGTTGTGGTAGTCCAAGTTAGGAGAAAATGACAGGAGTTGAGACTGGAAATATTCTGCAATAGAAAAACAGTATTGATGAGAAAATTAAACAGGCAGTGCTCAGGGTGTGGAAGTAAACTGAAAGGAAGTAAACTGAAGCATGATTAAAGCAGCTTAAAACAAAAGAGATATTAAAGGATGAAGGAAGAAAAAGGTCTGGCTAACACTAAGCAGGACAGAAAACTTGCAATGAAATAATGTTCTTATAAAGGATGTTTTGCCCTAATGCCAACTTGTGGCTTTTCCCAGAAGAAATGGAAACAAGAATGAGAGAGGTGAGAAGATGCCTTCTCTTCACAAAGGCTCCAGGCCTAGCAATTTTGCCACTTAACTTCATCAGATTCCATTTACAAGGAAGTTAGTTGACCAATAAACAAGATGGCATCTGCCTGAAATTTGGAAGGTCTGCGCAATTACATGCACTGTGGTCTGCAGAGAAAACACTTACTGTAAGTAATATGTTTTCAAAAGCAAGCATTATCTGTTTGCTCTCCTGGAGGGAAGCCATGAGTGGTTAATACCCCAACAAATCAGAGCCCAGTGGTGCTAATGACAGGCTAATCAAGCAGTGGCTATTCATGAAACACTTTGAAATTACTTCCTAATTGACTGATTGCAGGGAGGAAGAAAAACTTCCTAGACTTCAAATACAGACCAATATCAAATTTTCTCCATTTCTACCTCTCCACTCTGGTGTCACTAGAGTCCAAGCCTAGAATACTTATGACAAATAAAGCAGGTAAACTCTCTCATGTTCCGAAGGCTAAACCCAGACCCTGACATTTTATATGCTTTGACTTGAGGGTTCAAAAGTCAGAACCCTCAGTACCATGGCCAATTTACTTTTTGACTAAATTCTGTGCTGTTAGCCACAATTTGAGATGACCCTGAATAAATCTCCTCCACTGCTAACATTGCAAAGCCATACTCCTGCCCAGAGCCATAACAGTTTAACAGAGGACACTGATTAGGATTGGTAATCCAAATTGCCCAGAGCAGGTGTTTACCAAAATTGTCTCTCCTTCTGTATTCAGACTTGAACTGATCACCAGATCTGGGGTCTGGACTGACTTGCCCTTTAGACCAGCTCAGTCTGCAGCATGGTGCCACATAGAACGATTTGGATGTTCCAACTAGATTAATTCCTCTGTGGTAAAGTCCCAAACTTTGGATCTTTTACAGAAAAAAAAAAAGCAAAAAAAAAATAAAAATTACAGGATGTTTAAAAACACTCTATGGGACCTACTGAGACCTTTACATCACAAATACAAAGATCAAGATCACCTATGGGACCCATCTTAAATGCGTTTAATTCAGGTTTATTCCAGAACCTAGTGGAAAGCTGGAAGTTTCCCAGACCTTAACACTGCATCTTGCAATGCCCAAAACGATCAAGTAGAGGGTTACTTATATTTGTTAATAGTGAGCTTGGGTATTACTGCATCGTATCAACAAATTATTAAAACCCATTGCATTTCACAGCCAGGCAATCAATAAATATCTATTTAGCTGGTTGTTAAATGTGAACATACAGCATTCCAGTCACCAGTGGCACATTTATCTATCTTTAATTACAGAAACAAGACACACACAGTTCAACCACACAGTGCAACCTCAGTTATTTGAAGCACAGGCTTCTCAATAAAACTTGCTGTCCAAAGAAAAGCTTGCTCTGAAATGCTGGATGCCAGAAACTGGGTAAGGAAAACAAAGACAAGCCCAGGAAGAAATTATTCTCTGGAGAAATCTCAAAGTCCTGTCCAGAACTGCTGAGAGCACCCTTCCACTCAGGCTTTATTGAGCCCCAAACTAGGATAGCGCTGTGGTCTGTTAAAGAGTGCTTTGGGGAGCCTTTGATGTACAGATATGGCACAAACATTACCCACTGGGAAGTCCATTAAACACACTCAAATATCCAGCTGTGATATGGAAGATAGACAGAGATACCAGCCACAGAGACATTTCTACCCCATGTCTTCCAGACCCTTCTCTTTTATACAGTCACTGTATAAAGAGAAATATCGGCTGTATTCAGGCTGCCTTAATGTTGCACCATGCCTGCTTCTTTCCACAGCTAGGAAGCAATGGGAAGGCACTCTGGCTACAACCCTAAGTGGATTTTATTTTGTGAGTTCCCAGTAAGCAAGCTGATGGGCAAAGGAGATGCCAGACACTTTACTAGAGTGCTGAGTTTACAGATTTAGCTATCTGCCCCATTCAGTTCACTTCTGTATCTAGTGATCAGGACAAATCTGATCTACTTTGTTTCACGTTAACAAATGTTTGACTTCAGAGGACCCTCCAGGCACTAGGGAGCTCAGAGTTCATTTTGGTTCAGCAACAACTGCCTTTTCTTCAACTCTAGATGCTCCCTGAGGTCTGGTTGTAAAAGGATGAGGGTACCGTGCACTGCGATCTCCTTGGTGTCTTGGATGAGGGTGTTGCCCGCAGCAACTTGCACAGTGACAGTGTTCATCCCCTCCACAGCGAAGACGTAGGAGATGCTGCTTTCCAAGGTGATGAGGGGCTGCAAGAGGTAAACACAGATAGCAATATCAAAATCAGAGTTCAGTTAACTCAGACAAAACAGACACCAGAATAATTCACCAAGCCACAGTATCCATCCTCCCCTGGCTGACACACAAACTGTGCTCAGAGCTTGCATGTCCTAAGGCTTCCTATGGCCTAAAAGCATGTGACCCAAACATCACCCAGTGAGACTCACATCCCACAGGCAAAGCTTTCTCTCACTTCAATAAATGCCGCCTGAAAAAATTCTTCCACTGAATTGCAACCCATTATATGGTGAATACTTCAGTAAGGCACAGTCAGCAACCGCAGAATTAACGCTGCAGAATGCAGTGTCGTACGTACGTGAGCATGCAAACTCAGCATGGTTGCTTTATCAGCTGTGCAAAATACAGGGTCCAACTCAAACTAGCATTTGACTAGAAACCAAAGATGCTTCTTCAATCCATGTAGTTCAGATTCAGGATCAGCCCTCTCTCTTACGAGTGCAAATCCATGTGTCTATCTCAGAGCAGTGCTGCTCAGGACAGCAATGGCACTAAATACTGTCCTGTTTTGGTTTCAAGCCTGTAAAGTTCAAGCTAGCTCCAACTATAAGCTGGCAAGCCATGTTAACAAGGCTTAAAACGTGGCATAATACCTACAGACGCTGCTGTCTGAATGTAGCTGGATGGCTTCCAGAGTAAAGTTGACCTTGTATTTAGCTAGTTCAGAGCCACGGCAGAGAAGGCTGACTTTATCTGCACCTTCTCAAACAGAAATGTCCTCGATAGCACTACAGTTCTCCTCTTAGCACAGAAAACCCTTACACTGATACACATCTAGACGAGAAAAGTGCACCATGTTCAGGGAAAGATTTGTGTATTGAAAACCAAAGGTCTAGCCCTAATAGTGCCTTTGAGCTGACAGCTGGTCTATAGACACGTCTCTTGGATTGGATTAAACCATTAAAATGGAAATAGTGATAGTAGTCTCCATTGCAAAAGCACTTAGAGGTCTAAGAGCACAGATAAAATCATTGTACCATTACTATTGCCTCTTCACCAAACTGCCAGTTTGTTCCCAGAGAAAAATAAATATATAAATAAACTAAGCCATCTAGCTCTCACACTTCATCTCCTCGAACTGTTAATTTGTGTGCATGTCACAACAGTGGCCATACATGTCATTTTCATAGGCAAATCATAGTTGCCACTGGCATAGCCCAGGCTGGCAAACTGATTTCTCCCCTGCAGAATGGCACCATTTATATGGCCATTAGCTGAAAAAGCATTAGAAGAAAATAATAATAATAATAATGAAAAAACATGAACACAGGAGACAAAGACCAAGTGAGCAAGGATGCCAGCTTGAGGTAGCCCTGGAGTCACAGCTAACATATACTAACACATATCTAATGCATGCACATCCCAGACCAGCAGAATAGACCTACAGTAAACTGCAGTGATATTAGCAATATTCCTGGAGGTTGCAGGTTGTGACTCTGTGCAAAGGCAGATAAGAGGAACCAATCTGGTCTTCAAAATTACTATTTCTCTTTTTTGTACGTGTGCATGCTGGACATCCCGTTACCATGGCTGATTTCACCTCCATCATGGAATTTTAACATTCAGCCAACTCCTTAATTTTAATTCAAGCACCAAGACCTGGAAGCTAACTCTAAATTAAATCAAGTAGTTCAAGGTTCATTTGCTCAAACCTATTAGACAGCTGGACGCATTTATTAAACTGGACCTGTGTTAATCCAGGCAAATTGGCCTTTGGGTATACAGCAAAAATTAGCGCAGCAGAAATTCAGTACAGTGGTTCCAGCAGGGTGGGGAAGCACAAGAGCCTCAGCCTGGGCATTTGAGCGTAAGACAACATTCGCCTGTGCAGCAGCACAGAGTACCTTAGTGACACTGCACAGTGACACAAGACACATCTGGTTCTGCATGGGATGCCTACAGGCTGAAAAGGCACAGGAGTTGCTATTCCTCAGCATGGAACCAGAGTACATCACCTAGCAATGCCAGGCAGTCACTATGCACAGTACTACACATCACACCGTAATTCACACACAAATTAGTGTTCCCAGCTTTGACCTATACTAAGAGCCATGCAGTTTGCCCGTGAGTGGGCACAGAAAGGGACTCAAGGTGTATGTTAAACATCCCAGAAGGAATTTTGATGTGATGCAGATTGTTTTCTTGAAAAAAAAGAAATGTTCTCTTGAAAAAAAAATAAAAAATAAAAAAATGTGTCTGCTGTTCTATCTATATCTTCTGCCATTCGCTTGTCAGATGCTAGGGGGCACAGCTGAAGTACACTTCACAAGCTGGAAAGAACATTGCGAGGAATGAAAGGTGCTCTCGATCTTTGCTTTGGCCACAGGTTAAGTGGCACCATCTTTACTAATCCATACATCAACATAATTAGGAAAAATGTACAATCACTCCAAGGTATTATCAGGTTCAACTGCCTATACTCTATTGCCTATGGGGCTGAAATTTCAGCCAGGTGATAATACAGGGAACAAATCATATTTACAGCATAGCTCCAAGCACCATGAGAAATTAATTGAAATCTTCAGCGCACAGCATTGGCTTGCTCTACCTTTTCCAGACTACTTTCTATTTCAAAAAAAATCTTTTCAAAGGCCCTATTCACAATTAACTTCTACATTAAAGAGAAAAGTTGTTGCAGGAAAACTCTGGCACCCAGATGAACTCAAAAGCTTAAGGAGATAATCAAGTTATTGATGCCTAAACTGTCTCAGATACCTTAATGTCTGTCCATGCATGAGCACCAAACATAAAATAACTGAGCTGAAAGGTGATTTTGCATTCCCCCCTCTCCCTCTCGGTGAAGTATGAGCTATGTGGAGTTACCCTATATTTGTCATGAACTACATGAACTAAATCTATGTACATGGGTGGTAGCCATCAATCAGCAAGGGCACAGCAACTTTCCAAGCTGCAGTAACTAGTTTTTGTTCCTAAGGTCTTCTGGTGCCTCCTCTTATGCTTCCATAAAAACAGGTGAGTTATCCAGTGTGCGTCCTAACTTCATGTAAAATCCCAACAGAGCATTCAGTTTTCTTTTTTTTTTTTTTTGGATCCTGCTACTATTGGTAGTCAGGTTAAGAGATTAAAACACAAGCAGCTTTGTTAAAGAGAAAATCAAATACTTGTCTGATATTTTTTTTATCCCAAGTTCCCTATTTCATGTAAAATCCCCATTTTTTTCCTACTGTCATCCCACCTCAGAGCTCACCTTCAATTGCAATTTAATAATATAGACAATGACGTGACTTAAGCTGCCTTTTGTAAATAAAAGCAGATACTGAATTGCAAATTATTGGCTGTATATTTCAGAACTGTAATAATGGAAGACAGTACTTGTGTCATCTGTCTCATTCCTAAAGCCTGCATCAAAAGCTGTAGCTAATAAGCAATTCTGCTCTCTCTACTTGAAAGCATGACCACAACTTGCAGTTTCACTTACTTTAATTATTGATTTTATAAAAAAGCACTTTATAACAAATTTTTGCCGATACCCTGAAAGTTGCACTACAAAGAAGTCTCACCTCTGTCACTAATATATATCCAGGCTGTGAACAATAGTTGTGGACAGATACAAACAGTTCGTTGAGGGTCTAGCTTAAAATTCTAGATACAGTTGTCCAGTTTAATAAAGGTTATTTGAACACCAACAGCTTTAAAGTATTGTGTTGGAATCCAGCATTATATACTGCATACTGGCACATAATAGAAACACCCATGGTTATTTGAACACCATCGGTTTTTAAACAGTATTGAAAGCCAGTATTATCCCATACATAGTACTATATAATTCAGTTAAGTTGCAAGTGAATTCTAGTAATAACAGTGTTCTTCAAAGCTCAGTAGGGCTGATAATAACCACATGTAAAAAAAAGTAATGACTTCTAAGAACAACATGAGACGGGAGGAAACAAATTCAGAAAGGTTTAAGTTCAGATAATGACAACCTTTTTTAAGAAGGAAAAAAAAAAAAGTAGCACAAAAAATAAGCAAAGGCAAGAAGTTTTCATTAGGGTTGAGAGAGTTCACACTCTGGCACAAGCTTGGGAAGTAAAAGTGAGCCAAAAGGGAACCATACCTTGGTGTTGTTACCAAACCACCAGAAGTAGGTAAGTGTGCCTGCTTGACTGGGCCAAACTACTGCAGTGATGTTGACATCCTTATTCCTGATGGCAACGAAAGGGACACTCAGATGGACGTGCTCTACCGGACCTGCAGGAAGAAACAGTTCATTATTAGAGGCTTTGAGGTAAATCCTCTCCGCTCAATTGTGAACACCAAGGATCTTTCCTTTAAATAAATCAAAGCAAAACAAAGCACTTTAGCAGTGAGACTTTATTACAGACATGTAAGAGAATTTCAGCAATCAGCAACAGAAAAAAAAATACCAGATTAATAAACAAAAATCACACTTTTTTTTTCCACTCTTAATTCTATGAGAGCCAGAGACAAACATTTTTCACAGTGCTAATTTCAGACAGGGTCAGCACTGTGTTTAAAAGACAGATGTTTTAAAATGCAGGCTGAGGGAGACCACTGAACTGCCTTTGCACTGGATAGGGCAGCCTGCTATCGTAGTCTTGAGGGACAGGACACAAGGGAAAGAAGGTGTTTTCTTGAAAGCGTATCCACTGAGCTACTAAGATTAGTGGGCAAATCATTTTAGCCTGTAAATCTGATTACATATGAGGTATTTATGGCTCAATTAAATATGTCCTGACAGTTTCTCTGTAGAAGGTGTCCAAAAGAAAGATTAATGATTTGGGGCAAGAATGGAAAACCTTAGTATTATTTTGACATTGGTCTGACCTTGAAAAGTCTTTGGGAAGAAACAAAAAACAAATTTTTTTGTTTGGTTACTTAAAGCTTTTCCTACTATCTCCATTTTATTCCTTCTCATCCAATTTTTGGGTTTTGCTTGTGCTGACTTCTAGCTGATAACCGGGTGCACATTACACAGTGTTACTGAGCCCTTCTGGTTGGTACCTTTTTAAAACACGGAAAACTGATGAAATAGGAAAGGATGAAATAAGAAAGGAGTTTGTTGTTTGTTTGTTTTTTTGATAAAACATTAATTTGGGGAAGCAGGAAATTTGCTGATTTTAACTGAGACAACCTTCTTACGTTACCTCTCAGATCTCCAGATTTGAAATAGGGGCATTAATCACTTCACCTACATGGATCAGAAGAATTTTGGAATGTAAGAGCCGTTCTTTTACCACCAGAACATACAGCTCCTAGCACAACGGGCCCCCTGTTCTTGGTTTTGGCTTTCTAGAACTTGTTTTTTTGTTATTGTTGTGGGTTTTTTTTGTTTGTTTGTTTGTTTTTTCTTTTCCTTTCAAAGGGGATCCTGAAATTTGTCTGTAGCAAGTACTCAGAATAGCAGGTTTCCCCAAATATTTTCTAACAGTGCATGGTAAGAGGAAAAACACTAAAATCTTCAATTCCTCTAAGATGAGGGGATAAACTGAAGGAGAAAAAACTACTATTGCTTGAAGCCCAGGACCTTCTTTCTCCTTTTTTTCAGTACAGGGATCCATAACCAGACGGATGTTATAATAAGGGTGAATTATACAGTAGGCAATTTGTCTGGACATTTGAACTTCACTGGAAAACCTCTTATATTGACTAACATATCCAAATATATTGAAAGTCTAGTACTGAAGTATTGTAAATGCGTGGAAAACATTTCTCTAGAAATAATGAAAATCTGACCATCAAAGAAGGCTACAGAAGTCGAAGGAGAGATCTGAGATGCTGAAGAAAAAGAGAGCAGAGTAGCACAAAAAGGCCAAAGCAACGGCCCCTCTTTGCATTCTGCTCTGAAATCCTCTACATGGAACAGCAGTTCCTGGGAGAAAATCAGATAATCCATACAAAATTCGTTGTTATTACCAGGTAACCATCACTTTTGTCAGTTAATGGACCAAGGTGAAGGAAAAAACAGTTAATGCTCTAATAACAGGTTGTAAAATGCAGCCATGATTGACTTTGAGGGAATTATGAGCATAATAAAAGCTTCAAGGAACATTTATTCCTTCACATAGGGAGCTTGAAATTTAAAAGAAGAAAATAGTTCTTGCATTTTGGAAATGTCTCACTTTCTTCCTTTCAGTGGAAAAGCAAAAGTATAAGGCAGACAGCACAGAAGGCATTCTGACACGCAAAGGGAGATGTGGACATGGCTGAAAACACCGTTAGGGGCACAGCTGAAGAGGTACATCTGAATGCAGACAGAGATCCCTGCCCAGGAGACCTAGTACTCTGAGAGCAGGACAAAGAACCAGGATCTTTCTGGTCTCATCCTTAGTTCCACACCTTCCTCAGGCTTTGATAAAGCCAGCAAGGGGCTCTACAAGTCTGCTCACGTGCCAAGTGGAGACAGATTGCATTGATCTACAAAATAGGAGGGGAAAGTCGGGCGTGCATGTCAAACATATCAAACATGAAAAGTAGCATATTAGTCCTCAGTATATTAATATCACAGGAAGTATGTTCAGGATAATGATTTTTGTCTTATTTAATCAACACTGAAAATTCCCAAATCCTAAATCAGAATTTAGTAGATTAATCTAAACCTCCTGGTATCAGAAGCACACTGAAAACATACATTTGGTCTTTGTTTCATTTGCTATTTGGCCTTTAACCTTTTCAGAACCCTTTCCAAGCTTTTCACTGTACCTATGAGTACAGAAGATATAATTTTGTTAAAAGATGCTTCCCTTTCTCTTAATTCAATAAAATTTACTTAGCAAGATAGAAGAGCATCTAAAATTCCAAGCCTTTGGTAGAGTGTGTGTTGCCCATATATGTGGGGTTTGGATGTATTCCTAGACTCAACTGAATTTGGGGGGATTTTCAGTGAGGTCAGGATTTTGCCCAAGGAATCAAGCAGGAGGAACTACTTACAGACCACATGCAGGAAGAGGACAGCAGTATCAGAGCCCAGGCTGTTTTCTGCATAGGCTGTCACCTGAAAAATTCCAGCACTCTTATACACATGCCGGATGCCATCCTCAACGGGGCTAAAATTTGCATAGGATACTGCAATGCCATCTCCAAAATCAAGTTGAATGTTTGTCCTCTGGAGATCACCCTGCAACAGAAAAGGCTGGATTAGGAAACTGGGTTGATAAGACTTCCCTCTGTCCCACTGCTTAGCTCTATTTCATTAACATGGATGCAAATTCTTAACTTTACCAAAAAAGTTTAGCTTCATTCTGTCAGTCTCAAAAGGGGCCTGACTCAAATCAAGCTAATTATATACCAGCAACACTTAAAGTAGCTGAGCATTTGCACCTGTAAAGAAGTGTTATTCCCTCATCTTGGGTTTAGAGATTTAAAGAGGGTATAGTGCCAAAGGTGCATATATCAAGGGGACTGTGTTTGATTCATCTGGTGCAATGCACAGTTGGGGATTATGTATCGCTGAAGTGATACATAAAGGGTTGCTTTGCACAACCCTTTGCTGAATGGCTGACATCCAACAAGCATCTCCATCAGAAGCAAAAAGATGGGAGACACTACACTGATAGGAGTCCAGATGCTAACTGGAGAGGAATTCCCAGGTGTACGTGGAAGCCTCAGGGACATGTTGGAGACAGAGCAATAGTCAAGGTGGCTCTTCAAGATATTTAAAAGAAACAAAACCTGGTTACTAAGATACTGTAAGTTGAGCCTAAGCTAGTTTTAAGGCATCCTGAATAGCCAGTGGAAGAGAGAGAGACAAGACACCAACACATCCTGTCCTAAGATAACTGAGACAGGTGACATGGATTATCTTCTGCAAATATCCTTGTCCATACCCTGATGATAAAAAGTCTAGATAACTAATTTCAGCCAGACACGTAACTTCTGGATGGCTGAATTTATACAGGTTGAGTCCCACATGGAGCACTGACAGCTTTTGTCTAATGTCAGTCAACACAGAGACAGGGCCCCATGATACACAGGAGAATGAAATAGATGATGAGAAAATCCCTTCTATGATTACTGTCAATGACAGCTATTAAATGAAGGGGAGAACAACAGACAAGAGATTCCAGCATTGCAGGTATTGTCTAGAAGCAGCAGCTGCACTGTTTTAATTTAAATCATGCTTTAAACCACTGTAGTTGAACTATAGAAGTGTCTGTTATTTCAGTTTCTAGGAGCCTTATTATGTACTTGTTCCCAGCTGACTAAAAGTAACACAAAACAAGGCTAATTTAAACAGAGTGAAAGCCCACTGCAGTGATTTCACTAAACTGAAATAAAATTACACCCCAGATTAAATCTCTGCAGCTTTCTGTGTGCGCATATATATATATATATAAAACTGTATTGGCCCAAGTAATTTCCTATCATGAAAAAGGCTCCACTGCATTCACTATGAGTGAAGATACCATTACCTTTTAGAGACGCTCCCAGCCCCAAAGTAAAAACAATCTTCAGCAATATTGATGAGAGTGAGATTCCAGAGGAAAAAAAAAAAAAAAAAGGGGGGGTGAGAAAGGGGAAGGGAGGGCAAAAAATCCTGCTCTTAGATGTATTTTTTGTGTGTGGGGTTTGGTTTTCTTTTGTTCTTAAAAAAAAAAAAAAAAAAAAAAAAAGGGAAATGCAACAATATTTCATGGCCATCTCATAAACACCATTTGGTGCATTTGCTTTGAGTGCGCAAGGTCAGGATCAAAGCTAATGTCAGTTCCAGTACATACTGATCTAAGCAGGGGAAGCAACCATGGAACTCGCAGCCAGTTCGTATGTACTTCCCATCTCTTCACAGCCAGTTCAAACCCTGCAGGGTCCTACATCCACTGGCCTGTGTAAGTGGCAACGGCAGGACTGTCACAGCCAGGACGGTGCATTCTGCTACTGCTCCTGGTCCCAAAAGTGCACCTGATCTTGTCCTTTAGATGGAAACCCTGGGAGCTCAGACAATAAGCCAGACTACACTGCAGTATGGTCCTCTGTGTAGTCCTAATCAGGACTGTAGCATGCCCCACAAACTTTATCTTCCCCATAGGCTGTGCTTGCATTAACAAATCAGGGCACAGAAAGGCTATTTTCAAGGATGAATTTCCCTCGAGTGTACACTTAAGAGTCTTCAAATACACATCCATCTAATCAGGTTTGTTATGTAGATTTTGAAATATGAGTATTTGGTTACAGGTGTTAGATTTCTCTCCCTTCTTGCTCCACCATTCCTATTTCACAGGAGCCAGGGGAGTTTTGCTATTGAATTTATCAGGGCACCATTTTCACCTCTGTCATACTAGGACATTAAAAATACAGTAGAAACCAAAAAGAAAACATAGATGAATAGAGTGGAATTGACAGTAGAACCTATCTATAATATTGCCAATAATATCCTTTTCATAGAGAGGTGCTTTTTTTTTTTTTTTTTCTTTTTGTCATCACTCAGCAGAATTCTCTAGCAGGGACAAAATTACACTCTTGAGATATTCAGTTATTTGATAGAAAGACTCCCACAGCTTGTTAAGCCCTTCAAAACTACTTCTCAAGAGAATGCTCTAAGACCACAAGCTCATCTCATATGGAAGGCACTGAACAGAAGATAAAATTTGATCTGGGATGGATTCATCACTGGTGACCTTGGGATGCCACTCTTGCACCTATCGTTGCAGCTCCCCTCTCCTGCCTTACAATTCTCTTTTCTATTTTGTCCTTGCTTCTCCAGTCCGATTCTATTTGAAAGGGGAAAGTTTGAAGTGGAGAAACAGCAACAGATTTTTTCTGGTAAGCAATAGCAGATACTCTTTCCAGGCAATTATCAGAGTTTGGTCTTCAATGAAAATCTAGCTCATCACACTAATCTTTCCTTTCTCCCTTCCATACGTCTGTATCCAGTATATAAAATAGTAAAAGAAGTGTGTTAGCCCATACATGATGTCAGACGTTTATGAATATAAATTAAAACAGAAGTGGTTGGAAGCATTTCAAATGGGTAAAAATCATTGTTTTCCATATATATTCAAGAGGCGCATTTTATTGCTTTCAGCTCCGTAAACTACCAAAAGCTAAAGGCTGTCACAAAGACTGGAGCTCTGAGTACAAGCAGGAAAAAGGTAGTGAAATGGGTGAAAAAGTGTTTTGCCGTGTAACAGCCTTTCAAAGTCATCTCCCCATCAAGACTAGCCTGGAAGTTTCAGTTACAGTTTTCCTGCCTGTATACCTATGATATATTTTGGTCATAAAACCACAAATAATCCACAAAAGGCAAAGGTAAAGGAACTCAGTGCAGAGTGCCAAGGATCAGAAACAAAGCAACTGCTGGCAGAGAAGAGGCTTGGGGGTGAACTCTTCTTCCCATTGCATTCACAGACCCACAACCTCATTGATGCTGAATCAAAAGCTGCGGCTCCTCCAATGAAGCTCTTAAATTGCTTGCATAAAAATATGGTATGGATGTGGCTATCTCTTTCTATAAACACAGTTTAGTAATCTACTAATAGATATGCAGAGCTCTAATACTTGCTCAGGCTTGTTCTTTGAATAGTCACTGCTTGCTTTCTCAGCTCACTTGCAATTACAACCCTGTTATCAAGCTATGCCATCACCTTATAATTACTCAAAGAGGGAAGCTGTGAGACGACATAAACAGAAGACAATGGAACAGAACAGCGCAATAAGTGGAGCTGCCATATAAACAACCATTTAGGCCTGAGGGGCATTTATGTATCCTTCAGAGGGCAGCTGGGGATATACAGGAATGAGCAGATGGAAAAAATATACATAGATCTGGTCAAGAACACAACTCCATACAACATCTTGGCAGTCTTAATTCTTTGTGCTCAAACTCAAGCTTGCTTTTTTTTTTTTTTTAATTATAAAAACAAAGAAGGTTCTCAGTCCCTTGTGTTCCTCTGCATATGTACACAGTTCAAATCACAGCCCAGCCTCATACTTCTAAAAATACAGCAAAATCAGTCACTCTGCTTCTCTTTGTCCATTGTCGTCACCACGCACATATTCTGAATTACCACTGTGAATAATACTATGAAGGCTAAAACTGTAAATCCTGAGAAATTTAGTTTTCCACTAGGTATAAGAAAATATTCATTTACCATTGGACAGCATAAAGGTCAGTCACTCACACCAGTATATCGAGGGTGTTTGTCTTTCTAGGAGGTAGAAAGAAACTGATGGCTAAGCACAAAGTTACTGATCAGGGTTAGTCCAGAAGAGCAGAAAGGTGGGATAGAGGCCACACACGTACCATAGGAGGGCTTGTCAGACTGTTGTGTGGCTCAGAAGGTAAGTGCAGACATGGGTGCGATGCCAACCACTAAGAAACAGACTGAGTAGGTAAGGTGAAAGGAGGCTGGAATTAATCTGTATGACAGCAAGATATGTACTAATAAAGACTTCAGGAATGATTTCTTCCAACTACTAAGGAGTAATTTGATGACAACTCATTTGTTTTGCTGATTGTCCTTTCAATCAGTCTCAGGTTCACACGGAAAGACTGGAATACTTTTTTGCCTAAAATCTCAGTGTGATTTTTTTCCTCTGAAAATGACCTTTTATTTTAAGAAACCAACTCAACATACAGCTCTCTGTGGAGTAAGCTGTTCACCCAAAAAATATACGTTCTTGAAAATACTCTTCTTAGAAAAAAAAAAAAAAACCTGTTTCAATGAAATGTTTCTCTAACTATTCTTATTTTTTAACAAAGGATAGTCAACTCCCTCACATATTTATTCAGCTGCCTCTTCAGTCTCTGAAGCCTTGTAAAGGCTCCACTCTGCAGCTACTTTGACTGCTGCCTTATTCCCCATCTGTTTATCATTCTTTGTATGCAGCAGTTCCGCTTGAGTTCCTTAATAAATTACTACTAGATTCCTAATTTTTAGATTATGTCTGTTCTTTTCTGAACTCCCACTCACTAGTGTCTATACAAATCGTCTTACCATGTCAAGTCTGCAGAATATAAAAGAATCAGCCAGGTAGACAAGAAATCCCCTTTGTATAAAAGCAGAGCAGGCATGAACCTCTGAGGAAGTATGTAAAGAAGCCCTGTCAGATTAGTGTGGTCCCAATGAAATGTCTAGTTACTGCATAAGATTTTAAATTAATAGAAGTGTGTGTGTTTAAAAAATAATAATAAGGTATCACAAGAAAAAAAACCTTCCCTATTGCAGTATGCTCAGGCTTTCAACAGCTTGTATTCTTGAAAGTCTAAGCTGATGGAGGCTACACCTGGGACTGGGAGGGGTAGAAACACTACATTTGTTCTGTTCCTAATATGATTTTCCTAGAGATCTACTGCTGCTTGTTGTCAGAGGCAGGGTTATGTTCATGACCACGACCTTTCTGGCTACCAGCTGTACCCGGGTACTATCCCAAAACAAAGTACATGGGGCAGAGTAGATGACAAAATGTACTGTTGGTCCTCCAGCACCACCTTGCTCCCTGGCTGCCACTCCTGAGATACTCGAAGATGGCAGAAGTAAGGTTGTGAGTTGACTCGTAAGTACAGAACAAGATGTACAATGAGCCATGCTGGGAAAATCAGTGTCCAATCTGACCATGAGCCTCCAAGTACACCTTCCATTGGCAGTCAGGAATTCCCAGTAGGGGAATGTAGCAGCTGCAAAGAGAGCAGGGATTCCTGCAGTGCAGAAACATATACCCCTAAAAATCAAACCAGACCAGAAGAGGTAAAAAGTCATTTGAAAAACCCTCCTTCCAGCCCAAAGACTTACTAAATGCCCTACCTATCCAATTGTTCGCTGGTCCACAAACTTTAAAGAACTATATATGCTCACCAAGCAGAGATAATTGAGACTAACAGAGGGAATCCTACCGCATCACAAATAAACCAGACAGAGGCTGTATCCTCAACTCACAGAAGTGGGTTGAGAAGCCTCAATTCCTACTGCAAAGCAATAATGTTTGAACTTCCCTCTCTGCTCTCCATAAAACCAAAAATGTTCCCCAGTGTTTGTAACCTTTCCCAACAATGTTTCACCTAAGACAGAACTAAAGGTTTGCAACTCAGAAACTGAGAATTATTAAACATAGAGACTCCATCTCTGCCTCACAAACTCCCTAAACTGCAGCTCAGAAGCAACAAGAAACTAGTGGAGAAATAAATTTTTAATTAAATCTCCTATCTTTTCTTGAGCATCATCTTCATTCTCACTGATAGACAGGAAAACCAGCCAAATACACGTTTGACTTGACTGTTTCTGCATTTCATGTACAGCCCTCTCCTGAATTCTTCCAAGTCTCAGGAATGTTCATCGTTTTGTGACCTGCCTGATTGTTCTTTTCTTCTCAGCAGCCTGACAGGTGAAGGGAAAATAATACTGATCCTGTGACACTATGAAAGGCTTGCTGGGCTTGGTAACACACCTCTTCCATAAGGATGATGAAGGTGGCATTCTGCCCTTGCTCTGTGACCAACTTTCCATCAGCGGTGAGGATGTGCAGTCCTCGAGGTGCTTTTCCAGGGCATTTCTCCACCTTGGCCATATACTTCTCTCGCAAGCCATCTGTGCAGTTGTTAGACACAATCCTTCGGTACCTGGGGAGCAGTAACAAAAGGAGATTGGGCTCAAGCAGTGGGTGGAAAATTTTCTTTGTTTAGTTTTATTTCCCCATATTAATGCATGCATTTTCTCAAAGGCTAACTGCCTGCATGATTCTGTCACTAAAAGAAGGAATCAAAGAAATCTCATACTTTTTTAAATTGGAGAAAGCCAAACAAATCACAATTCAACCTTCTCCAGAGATTCTCAGCAGCACCAGTGAGAACAGTCAGACACTGTGGAAGTGAATTACTCTGTGCTGTTGAAAGGCAAAGAATTCCCCCAACTCGCTATGCCTGCAGGATTGTCCTCTGCATCCCAGCTTTTTATTACATTGTGTCTGCCTCCACTCTGCTAGAAGGCACTTGGAAGAATCTGGCAAGGGCTTTGTCCAGTTCAATTTTAAAATGTTTCAATGATGTGTTTTTGTTTTTCTCTTGGCTCTGCTTGGAAGAGATTAGCAAACTTGCAAGACACATGGCTATTCCCAGAGTTGTTGAGGTGAATTAACCCTTTCTAGTAATTTCACATGAAAGTACAGAGTTGGTTAAGAAGATCCAGAGTCCAGCTGTTGCATTCTTGTCCCTCTGTTAAGAAGGCTACAAGCAATCACATCAGGTTCCTGTAGGGAATTACAGGATTCCTGTAATTACGTCTCATGTTTATAGCAACTCTTAAACTGAGGGGTGGTAAGGGGGATGCTATCTCTGAAGCAAAGTGAATCCAAAATCACAGCAGCCCCACTTCCTTCAGCCACCTTCAGCTACCAGCCATAAATGACCCTGTCATAATAAATGAGCATTCAGGACCCATGATTCAGAAGCAGCCCTGAAAAATCTTCAGGGCCTGCAGTGCCTGAGAAGGAACATCGCAGTTTTGCATCATCAAGTACAACCACCATTTCAGAGAATCCCCCGCACAACAGAACAGCATTTGCAAAATGATACTACCATAATAAACCAACACTTGCCATCTGTTCTGGGTAAAACCAAGAGAAACCAGCACATGTAGCTTGTGTGAAATCTCAAGGCACTGTATATACAAAGTGAAAATGGCAGGAGGGGGGAAAATTCATGAGGCTAAAAATTGCTCGTTGGAGCCTCCCCAGAAGCTGCTATAAATAAGAGCTTTAAGATAGAACAAGATTCAATCAGAAACAGTGGGAAACACCTTGAACTTGCCCTTTTAAATGTTCATCTGCTTCTCAGATACACCTTCCTGATTCGTGTTTTAATTTTGCAGCAAAGAGAAGCTCCAAGCCTAGGCTCCAGAGATCATACATCACTTGATAGCAATACAATATCTACATGTCATTTATGTTAATATGCTTCTCCCTGTCTCTGAGGAATGAGGCAATGTTCCATACAGCTGCTGCTGCAAACATTACCTCATGAATAAGACTGGAAAAGAGCCAGGAGGGATGCAGAGGAAAAGACCATCCAGGTTCTCTTGTCTACCAAAACCAGAGAGATGGAAAGGTTCACTTACCCAGTGCTGTTCAAGTAGCTTTGACCAATACTGCAATCCTTGGACAGGGAAGATGGGCTGAACCAGAAGGCTGGGACACACTGGTTGTTGCTGTGCCTCTCATAGCCATAGTCACTATGGAAACAATAAGTCATGAGTGCATTGCTGTACCCATTCATTGGATTTCGCTCACTTTTCAGTGATGTTTTTATTACCGAGTGCACGTGTTGGTGGCTCGCTTCTGGAGGGCATGACCTTGTGGATTAGGCTCATTCAGAGACAAAGTGCTTGATTAGTTAGAGGTGCACAAACAGTTCACAGAAGGTGTGAGAGACCTGATGGCACGAGAATTTCCAGCCTTAGAGAGCACTGGAGGACTTGCATTTCATTTGGTAACAAAACAGGGGCAGAAATTCAGAAAGAAAACTGTATCGTTATTTTCTTTTCATTCTTTTGGTTTGCTTCCTTTTTGCAATCTTTGCTTTCAGAATAATCCAGATTAATCCCAAGATCTAATGACACTTTTTCCACAAGGAAGCACTTAGGAATGTAAAACAGTAGGAATGCTTCCTGAACAACTAGCTTGTGTGTGTGTACAGACACGTATGTTAACGGCCTCCCTTCTCTTTGACCAAGCTATGATTGGCCTGAAAGAAAAACACAGTTTTGTTTTGTTCTTTTTCCCAACACTAAATTAAAAATTACTGCCAATTTGGTAAACTAAGGATTACATGATATTATGTCAAATAGGGAAGGTAATCCAGAGTACCAACGCTTCTTTAGAGCACCAGAGAGTGGAAACACACCTAATTGCATCTAAGGCTTTTTTTTTTTTTAACAGATGCCTTTGCATGCCAATATTATGATGAAGCAATAGGATTAATCCAAAGCTTTCCAAAAGTTTTAATAGGCTCTCGCTCAGGTTTGTATGTATATCCCTTATTGGCAGGCTGGATTCAAGGGGCAAATAAAAAGGCAATCTGGATTGTTGCCCAAAGCACGTTAAAAAATGCCAACAAATTAAACCTTTGTGTAAACAGAGATACTGCAGAAGCCACTGCCTTGAAAACGCTCTCTGCTCTTTAGGATACTCCAAGCTTTATCTTTTCACCTATTCAGTGTCTGAATTGCCGGCAAGAAAGTCTCCAGGAAGACCTTTGGTAAGACAAAATTGTGCTATGTCCCCAGTGACCCCAGCTGCTTTTTTGGAGGGCAAAAAATCTGCAAGCTACTTTAAAAGGTTCAGAGATTCCCTAATGCTCCTTCCCTCAACATTCAATTTAATCATTCTCAGTGGGTCCGACCTGCACAGTCAAAAATGCCTGGCAGTGACTTGGTAATTAAAAATATTCAGGAGGAGCTGTACTTTGCCCTAAAGAAGAAAAGAGCTGCATAAATATTTAATAAAATTAAAGACAACATTGCTGTATGCCCTCAAGGTTCTGTGCTTGTTCATTAACTTCTGGTAAATGTATATTAAAACCTCACATGCTGCCCACCTTCCTTCTCATAAGCCCCAGGGTTTGCATAAGTTAAGGAAATAATCAAGTCCAGCTGCTGTGCTGTCTTTCTCAGAAAAACTATCTTGACAGAGTAAATAAAGAATCAAGGGGAAAAAAAAAATAAAGATCAGTGAGCATTTTAATAACACTCCTGAGTTCCTTCTGCCATTCCCTGACAAAAAAAAAAAAAAAAAAAAAAAAAAAAAAAAGAAAAAAAAAGACCAAGGTTTTCTATTTAAAATGACTGAGGGTTTCCAGAATCACCTCAATCTTAACTTGTGAGCGGCTGTTGAATTGGAGTCCTGGATTATGTTTTATGCCCCTGAAATTCATATCAGCCTTATATCTAACAGCAGGAAACTGATATCACTGCAACAAGGGCTCTGTGACCAAATGAGAGGGAGCACAGCTGTCACAGCTTGCGCTGTAGGGCTCCCACAGACATTTGTTCTGTCTGCACAGCTCTCAACGGACAAGTGAAATCAAACGTAGTAGGGTGGGATGCTCTGTGACCAGAAAAAAATCTCCAAACCTACTTACTGGAGAGGTGCGGAGACAATGCTTTGGGTCCTGCAGTTCAGTGCACACACACAACCCCAGTTGCCAACCTTCCTCCTTTCTCTGAATCTCCATGGGACATGCTCACTTCACACACAAGAGGCAGGCCAAAATACTGCCAGAAAAGGCTGAGTGGACATCTTTCCTTTTCAAAAGCACCAGCTGAAAGAGTAGGAACTGTCTCTCCAACTACAGATACATACACTGGGGACTTATCTCCATACGCTCCCTGTATAGATCCTTCTCCTAGTTAGCAAAAATGTGTTTTTCAGCATCTCCCATTCTCATGTGGACATCCAAAAGGTGGCAGATGAATCATATCCTAGAATAATGTGTGTCTTGCCATGGTCTAAAGAACTGCCTCGTCCTTTAGAAGTCAGAGCCCATGAGTCCACCTTTCTTCTTCTTTGAAAATCACCTTTAAGATAACTCAAGCTTAGCACCCCATTTACAGCACTACTCCTTTTTTTTTTCCTTTTTTTTTTTTCCAAACTATCTTCTTCCAATTAGCCCTGCAGACTAGCATCAAATCTCACCCTTAAATTGAAGCTGGTTCTTCTGATTTTCCATTACCAGCTGTAACAATTTTACAATTGGAAGCCAGTTAACAATTCCATTGGCAGTGCAGAATCTGAAACAAAAGCCAGCTTGCTGTCCTCTAACTGCATTTCCTCTGCAGGACAGACAAGGTTAACAGCAATATTCTCTCATGTTACTGGGAAACTTAAGCAAAAATGATACTGTACGTATGCAAGGAGCAGGTCAATTAAATGAAAAGGTGCATTCTGATGCAAACCCTTTTCAAGGCAGAACAGCACTTAAGGCCAATTTAGCTACCGCAGTTTTCCACTTACAGCTTAGAAAAGACAAGCTTCACTGTGAAATTATAAAGCTGGTGAGGCACAAAGCCTTGGAAAAATAATAATAATAATAAATAAAAAAAAAAAAAAAGAGCAAAGACATAAGCATCTCTGGAGATCAGTTCTTGGTGCAGCTCAGAGGCATATGCGAATGCCAAGGGCAGACATTGCAGGGCAAAATACTTTGTTCATCCTGCAAGTTCCCATGATGAGAACAACAGGGAAAGATCTCCTGAGTCAAGCTCAGGAATCCCAGATGTAATTTTGGCATTAGGAACAAATTAAGCATCCATCCAGATAAGATGAAAATCTCTGCTCTATATCCCTGAACATCCTGTAGAGCCAAAGTACTCCAATATTCAAGAAAACACCTTGGTCTATATTTTTATTCATTTTTGCAGTGTATTATCGTGTCCATGATCTGAAACGACCCATGAGTCTGGCTAGTCTGGATCCAAATAAGTGTGCAAATCTCATGCTTGACACTCTTAATGCAGGATTCAAAGGTAAGTGAAGTTTTCATGAATCACACTGATACTGCATCAGTCACTGATCCTGATAACCTCCTATAAAAATGAAAATCAGTTTTCTCAGCTGATCTTTTCCCAGGGTATTTTCAACCTCATTTAAACGTCATTCTGATCATTCAGGCTCAAACATCACAGCTACTGACAGTCTTAAATCTTTGAAGTATTGTCTATCAGAGGTTCCCCATATGAACTCCTTTTTCAGAGATCCTGAGCTGTTATGCATTCCCCTAAGTCCTGCCCCTGAGTGTACAAGAAATATCAAACAGTGGTTCATTCTTTCTCCATTTTTATTTTTAAGCTGCTTTCAAAATGACCTTAAACCAGTTTAGAAATTATGGCCAATAAAGTTGGAAACATCAATATTTATGCAAAGCAAGTGGCTACATCTGACTAGGGCAGGCTGCACAGACATGTTAAAGAATCATTTACAGAGATTTCTCAGTAAAACACCGAGAAAAAGCAGCAAATGGTTCTTTGGAATTCAAAGGAATAATAACCTAAAAAGTATATGTTTTGTTAGCATGCTCCCTAGGTGTTCAGTGACCTTTGAAGTGAGGACAGAGAAATTCCCTTTTTCTCCTGTAAAGGACATGCTTTGGACCAAAGAGAAAAGTCCTAGCTGTCACTCTTCAAAAATGATGGACATCAAAATGTCAATCAATACTTGCATTTTTTTTAACTTTTGAATTCCAGACTTGGATTTCAAAACTCCCCTGCAAATGACAAGGACACCTCCCTCACATTACAGGTATGAGGATCACAGTTGTGCTATATGGTACACTCACAACCATGAAGCTGCATAAGACCCAGCTTCCCCACACATTTTTTTGTCCAAGACAGTAGCTCAACCACTGCCAATGCTACAAGAAGAAGCCCTGCAAAATTTACTAGAATCGCATACTCACCACTCAAAGTCTCCTTGACCACAGACACACGGTTCAGATACCACAGTTCGGGAATAGTCCCGACCTAGGGAACACTGGGCTCCAGGCTTGCGTTTTTTATAGATCTTCCTCTCTCCCATGACACAAGGTTCCCCCTTTGGCAGACAAAGAAGAAGGATGAGAAAGAAGATCAGAGAGCTGTAGTGGCATCTAGGCCCTAAACCATGCATTTTGTCAAAATATACGAAAGACAATGAAAGCATACAATTACCACATGGAAAGTTGGGAGCTAAGAGTCTAGTCCCTTTCTGTGGCTTTGCAGACTCAAAGGCATCTGGGGAGGACCCATGAGTGCACTGTGTTCAGCACTGAGTTGGATGCTAGTCACAATGTGCCCAGAATGGCTGGGTACCCAAGTCATTGCCAGCACCTGGTTACATCACATTTCAGAAAGCATCTGTCAGTGTCTCTAGTCCTATGAATTACCCTGAAAAGGCAATGGGGACATACTCCTAGGCTTCTTCCATGTCAGACAACATCGACTGCAGAAAGAACTGCCCAAGTCTAAAACCCAGGGTTGGCACAAATTCCCCTTTCCTTTCCCTGATAGACCTGGCTTTGTTATGGACCTTAAATAATTTCAATGGCATGTTATGTCTGGCTTTTTCTGCACATGAAGGTTTTCAAGAGTGTTACTAGGAATAGATAATATAAAATAAATGTTTGACATTTTAAACAAACGTTATAAACAGAATTTTCTCTGAGCCAGAAATAATTTGTCTGCTTAAAAGTAAGAAAAGAAGACAAGGCCTAATTGAAATACTTCTTTCCCATTAATAGCAATTCCCAAGATGGCTGCCTGGTTACACACATGTCCTCCCTTTTCTTTCATTTAAATTACTTTCATTTATTCTCTTCTATGATTTTAGTCAGCTGATACATCCTTGCCTAATTAATGCTCATTTCTAACTCATGGATTTATTCAGGAAAATCACAGTGCCGATAGTGCTGGCTACAGTTCAGTTCCCCTGCAGGGAGTGGGACATCATACTGGTGGCCAGTAACCCATAAGTAATCTTCAGAGAGTGCTGAGCTCCCTCATTTCTAGTGGCTTCAGGACCTAAATATATCCACTGTGAAAATAAGCCAGAATGTATGAAAAAGAAAGCGTGTATCCTTGAATAAAATGAAATAATTTGGTCTTCTCTGGTGTCTTCTATTCAAGGACTCCCTAGAGTTTTACAGACACCTGCAGTACCTGAAGGATGAATAAATGTTTTTATTTTCATTTTTGAGTAGGGAAAATAGAGGCAAAGTGAAATAAAATTATTTTCCTGAGTCACTGACAGAGCTACAAAGAGTTCAATGCCTCCTACAATTCAATCACAAGGTGAGGTTTTACATTGCCCTGAGCACTGAGGGCGAAAAGATCCAGCTGTTAAAATGGAATATTTTTACACAAAGAGAAGGTAACAATCTCCCTAACTTGCTTGGAGAAGACTGGCCCCATATTTATTCATGCATATGCTTCAGGGGAAATAAAGCATCAACAGGTTAGAACACTGTCTTGATGGATGAAAAAATAACAAGTATATTCTCACCTGGCATTACAGAATATCTGAAAAGGAGCCCCCCGCATCCCCTCCCTGCACAGTCCAAGTACCTGATTGTGCAAATGCCAGGTTTGGTAGTCATCTTTGTTACACCTCCGGCTGAAGATAGACTTGTAGTCCACTTTGACCAGCTGCCATTCAGAACGGAGACTGAAGTGTCCAAAAACTCTGTGCACAGAAAAGAAAGGGAAGAAGAATGAACCAGAGTCACGCAGGGATATGCTTCCATTAAGCAAATAATTTCTCATGAATCTCAGCTGCAGAAGCCAACACACTGCCATGCAGCTTAATGTCAGAAAACGTTATTCAGTCATGTATAACACTTTCCTGATCCTGTTACATCCTAGAATTATTTAGCCCTTTCCTGATCCCTGTGCAGCTTGTGTCAGAAGGTCTTCCAAGTCTTCAGTACTTAGCACAATGGGTCATGGGTGTCACGGAAATATCTAGGTATCACTCAGAACAATAAAAAACCACTCTAGAAAGTAATGTGTCTAACATCAAGGGAGCTACTCTGATGAATATATGTTTAGGGTGTCTCAAAATGAAGCTTTTCTTAGCTTACTCAATTTCTGTACTACTGAACTTCCTGGTTGCACAAATTTACTACTTATGAATTGTAAGAGAAGCACCTGAAATAACATATTTGGGATATGGATCATAGGCAAGCAACTTGCAAAGGTGACAGCCTCCCTTCTAACTGGTAAAAGCTGGCTGCAGCCAGTAGGAATGAAATTATACTGTCACTACTGTAAGGTTATCAGTAGAGGCTTTTCTTAATTATTTTGAGCAGCTCGCACATCATCATCAGTCACTGATCACAGTCCATGGTTCACCTAGCTAAGTACTAAGATGATGTTCAGGGGGAAAATGGCACATTTTGCCATGCAACTCCAGAAGAACACAAGGCTCATACCGAGTAAAGCTGTATGCAGGAGCAATTGGAGCTGAAGAGTCAGCACTCAGAAACAGTGGGGGAAAGACTCAGACTGTAATTTACAACCGAGGCACAGATCTGTTACAAATGGGATCATGAAAGAGATCATATAAAAATTAAATAGCACCAGAGGCTTCTGCCCAAGCTCGGACCTACAGCACCACCAGCAGCAGAGTTTTTTGTTGAACACAGGTCTCTCTAATTGCCTTCCCAACTATACAGCCCTCCTTCAACTGTAGGAAAAGCTATATGCTTAAGCGTTTGGAAGAGAAGGACCACAGCAACAAAAAGCACTGGTGGTACAGATCACCACAAATACTAAGGAAAGCTACATGTAGAAAGTTCATGCCATGGACCAAATAAATAAATAAATAAAATAGCAAATGCATGATTTAATTGAGATATAACACCAGGTACATAAGCAAAAGATTCCATCCATACAGAAACATTGCATGTGTGTTACAGGGTGCTCATTTTTGACCAAGTAACAGCCCCCTATTCCCGTGGCCAGCCATGATTTTCTCAGCAGAGAAGTTTTTCAATCAAATGCAGCTGGATTTCCAAAGAGGAGTGTAATAGGAGGAGATCAGGGCAGGGACATGGGTGACCAGACTTTAAAAGCCATGTACAACACTACAACTTCTCATCAGCAGGGGAACACCTTGGTCCGCATAAACAACAAAAGCAACAGAACACAACAATCAAGTTGATTTGTCACTGTAACAACAATTCTTTGTCACCTTAAATGAATCTATAAAAGAACCTAAAAACTCATTCAAAATACAAGTTCCAGATTTCTAAATTCTCTATGTACTGAAACACAAATCTTTTCTGACAGTCACCATTGTTTCACATTGTATCACCATTACTGTAAAATTTACAGAGTAGAGAAAGTGTTTTTTTTTTTCATTACACCAAATCTTTCAGTAACTTACATTTCAACCAAGGCACTTATGAGATTAAAGTTTTTGTTTTAAATTATTCCAGACTAAAAGAGATGGGAGAGAGATGATTTGCAAATATCCCTATGAAAATGAAATAAAATAGAGAAATTCTATTGAGTTTTCTGACTGCAATCCAGATCCTACTGTGCCCCAGCGTTACTCCAGTTCACCTTAATTTACACGGTAATCACTCAGTGTTGCTGGCTTTGCTTTCCCCTCACTGCTCAAACTACTTCTCTCATAGACTATAGCCTGTGCCAAAATTCAGCTGCCTTGGGCTGTTTTTCATGAAAATTGTCTCAGCTCATAGGTATCAGGGAGAGAAAGTGGGGTTGTGGGCTTGCTGTGGACATCTTTCTACATTTAAATTCTGTCTCACAGAGACAAGCTCTAAGGAGCTGACAAGGGGAAGGACACAAAACAAGAAAAAGCAGTGACAGATGTGTACACAGTTTAGAAATAGGTCGGTGGGGAAGGACTTATGTATAGGAATGGATTTATTAGGTAGATTGTTCCTGGCTCTGGTCTGGAGAACATTTCTTAGTGTAGCCCTAGCTGTAGGGTACCAGTGATAAGAAGAAACACCACAACCAGAAGAGGCTACAGAAGAAACTGCAAAACCCGTTCCTCAACACAAACGGCACATTGTGAACCAAAATCAAAGCAAAGAAACCACAGCAATACCGGGTACCAGGGCACTTGTGAGAAGGAAAGAATGGGAAACAGAGGGGGGATGCAGGAGGTCCCAGAAACCATGTTCCAGAAGAAGGAGTTGTAACTCCAGCCTAGATCCCAATTCTGCCTTGGCACTGGCTAAATTCCACTGGCTCTTATGCCACAACTGCTTTCAGTACATGGTCTTACAGGATGCTCATCTGGTCACGGCATTATTGCACTACTGGGCAGCTCTCCCGTGAATCTTGTTTGTCTTGGATTTGAAGCATGACTGAAATGTCATTCCTGCAAGGCAGCAACTCAGCAGGCAGAAATCATTTAGTCCAGCAGATTTATACCTGTTCAGGATTTGACCTGCCTGTGTATTACACAGAAAATCTAGCAAGAGGAGGGGAGAACATAATCAAACACAAACACTTGCCTGAACCCAGAAGATAACAGGGCTGGAGAAACCCAACACTTCATCAGCATCTCAAGGAAAATGTTATTCCTCAGACTGAACCTTCGCTTATTGTCCAGAAAGAGAGTAAAAAGCTTCTTTGTGCTACAAAAATCAAACTACCAAAATCACTTGCTTTTTAAATCTATTAGAACAAGCTAAAAATCCTCTGCCATTGAAATTCTTCTATGATAATTAATGGAAAAAATGAGGTTTCCTAAGTGGAAGGCAATATATTAACATTCCAAAAGCACAGAGCATTAGCTACTCTTTAATTAAATGATTTCAAAGAAGATCTTTGTATATAATTGCTATAATTTAGATGAAACAATACTACACTAAATGTAATTAGAGGAGTGTGAACAGAGAGGAATGTTTTGCTCTGTGCTGCAGAGATGGTTCTGGGTCACCTCATTCCTAAAATGGCAACTCCCCCCCCCCACACACACACACGCTAATAAAAAGCTTCTTGAGCCTGATCAAGCATTGCAGTGCATGCCTTCAGAGACAAGAGCTACGTATACGCAGCAGCTAGCAAGCAACTGCACCTTGTCAGCACTGCTCACTAATAATGAACGCAGCCCAGCTGCCGATGGTACCTGTTCAGATGGAGAGATCAGCCAACACGACGAAGGTTACATTATATTTTAAGATGACTCTGTAGTGGATTTGAAACTTCTATGAGAGTAAGCAAACAAAAGAAATGGAGAGGAGTGTAGTGCTGTGGTCTACAAATAGCTCCAAACTCTCAAACAGCTTATCCTGGGGAGTGATGAGAACTCTCATCTTTTTTCTTTTTTTTTTTTTTTTTGAATTAGAACTAAGCTAAACAAATCATCACACTGAACAAACTTTGATGTGCAAAATCAGGTGTTGCAGTTGAATTCTCCTTTCATCAGTTTTGTGAGCTATCTCACTGGATATTTTCCTACAGCGACCAAGGTGCAGCCACATGTCCCCCTCTACCATCTCTGTTCTGGGGCTGCCAGGCCCAACCGAGAAAGCTACGTGTATGCAGAGAGCTCAAACATTTATATTGCTCATGTTCATCTGTCAAGAAATGCTTAGCATTAACTGCTTTTGGTAGGTACATCTGGATTTCTGTATCCTGCACAGCTGATCTGTGGAAGGGCTGTAAATGGCAAGATAGAAGACAGCATACAGGAGATAACCACTTCTTGTTAGCTGAGGACAGAAAAATCTTGTGTACTCATTACCTCAGCAGTCTGACATGGTTTTTCTCAGTTTTGAGCCTCTCTTAGAAACAAAACAAGACCCCAGGAGAGAGAATGAAAAAGAGTTGGCAGGAATTTATTTTTCTGTCCCAACTGGCAAGGCTTCACATAGCTTTGAAGATACCATCTTATTTATTTTATCTGATTCCTATGTATCTTTGTTTCCTATTTACTTAGTTTGTTCACTAAATTAGTGACTTTTTTTTTTTCCCTAAATATAGCTAAACTATCAAGATGATACAGAGGAAAAGGAGACACATTGTACTATGAATTTTGCCTCAATAACCTTGCCTACCATGGTCTAACTGAAAGCTCTTAATTGCTCATTACAAGCGTAGAAGACAAAAGAAGGGAGCTGGTTGTTCAATGTCCTACTCTGGGAAGTCAAAATGAAGAGAATGTTCTGATTTTTCCATTCATAGCGGTCTGATCTGGAAGTCCTTGAAAAGCAATAAATACAAGAGCCCATATGGCATTTAGATAGTCAGGTATTTTTTTAAATTTTGTTTTGTTTTTCAAATAAGCTCAATTTAACAAAGGTTCTCCGAACTAAGCCATGGAAAGGCAATTTACTGTCTTTAGACAGGATAGATTTTGTTCTGTCCCTCAGAGTGGGCAGTTAAAACACTACATAAAATCTTAGCTAATAGGACAGCACCTTCTCAATTGGCTTTATGCACCACTCTCAGTGAAACCATTGCTAGGAAACGAAAAAATGCTTCCCAATCTCTTCTTTTGAGGAAAAAAAAAAAAAAGACAAGGCTTTTATTGCCAGGGCTTGATGTCATTAATTTGCAGCAAAATTACTAGGAACCCAGAAAACAATTCTGAAATGCTTACAGATTCATGATGGAGTCATTTTGGAAAAGGTCATTGGTAACACTGCTATAATTATATCTTTCATTAATTTTTTAAATACACAATAACTTACAAATGTG